TTCCTTTCCTTTCCTCCTTTCCTTTTTCCTTTCCTTTCCTTTCCTTCCTTTCCTTTCCTTCCCTTCCTTTCCTTTCCTTCCTTTCCTTTCCTTTCCTTCCTTCCTTTCCTTCCTTTCCTTTCCTTTCCTTTCCTTTCCTTTCCTTTCCTTTCCTTTCCTTTCCTTTCCTTTCCTTTCCTTTCCTTTCCTTTCCTTTCCTTTCCTTTCCTTTCCTTTCCTTCCTTTCCTTTCCTTTCCTTTCCTTTCTTCCTTTCTTCCTTTCCTTTCCTTCCTTTCCTTTCCGGGGGAGGTCTGGAGATTCAGTTACTAATTGGGATCGTTGATCAGGGTGAGAAAATCGAGGATATCCTGCAGAGGACAAATGATGCACAGAAAAGATTCCACAGCCATAGGGTTGTAAAGTAGGTGTACTTGATTGGGGTGCACCGGGTGCACTGGGAATAGCTTCCCTCAAAATGGGGAGCACCTGCCCGGTCGTCTCTCACAATTTTATACATGAATACTGTTATATATTACATGCTAGCTAATTAATTTCCCCGAAAAGGCGGACCTCTTCCAAGTACTCATTTCCATACTCCCTGCCCTTGGTTCCTCCCGGCTGCACCTCCCCGATGTAGCCTGGTGGTCGTGGACAAGGGTTTTTCAGGATGAAGGCAATGAGGAAGAGGAGGTTAAACGTTTTACCTTTCTGGACTTCGACCTTCTGTTGGACAGTATTTAGGCCTTTTTTTTGCTTATCTTTGCCTTGTTTCCTGCCAACAAGTTGTTCATTCTTCCCTAACGAGTTGTTCGTTCTTCCCTCATCCGTTGGCCTTGAGCGATTTCTTTTTACATCTGCTTCTCCCAGGGTTCTCATCTACACCCCTATAATTGGGATATTTTTAGGTTCTCATCCACATCCCCGATAATTAGGATATTTTACCATATATGTAGCTAAATAGTAATTTGGATAAGTTTTAGCATCTTCCCCATCTCACAAATATCTTAAGTGTGGAAGACAGAGGGATTTGGCCACCCTCTTTTCAGTGGTTTGTGGGGACAGGACAAGGGGCAATGGCCACAAAACGGAGCCCAGGCAGTCCCGCACTTCTCCCCCACTTTTGTGTCACTTGTAAACGTGCTGAGGGCTCCCTCTGCCCCTTCACCCAGGTCACTGATAATGATGTTAATCAGTACTGGCCTGGATAATGGTTAAACAGCGCAAACCCCAGTTGCCCTCTGGTACCACTGGGATTCACGAGTACCAGGATCCTGGCCCAGCTCTCGTTGCTCAAGCTGTTTGTGCTTTGTTGCTTTGAAGTGCAACAATTGATAATTCTGAACCTCCAGCACGCCCGTGGGATTCGCCTGCTTGTGTTTTGCACGCCGCTCCGCTGCTTTGCAGAAGTGAAGCGCGGAAAGAAACGAAAAACAGGAATAATTAATAACTGCTTCCCATGACCCGTGTGCCTGTTCCGTGGGTGTTTGCAAAGCACGACAGGATTTTGCTGTGCTGAGCAAGGCGGATTCGGCCGGAGCACTTAGCATTGTGCTGCGTGATTTATTTTGGCAGGCCGATAAAGCAGCCCTGACGGAATGACGAGCACCGCTACAAAGAGCAGCTACCCGGATCGGCCCAGGAAAGCACTCTGCAGGAACCCATTTCTCAGTATCAAGGTAAATACCTCCTGCTTTCTGTAATCCCCTTTGTGTTGCTGGCTGGGAAAAAAAAAGGAGGTTAGGTTCCTGCAGAAGGCATTGAGAGGATTTCCGCTTATCAAATGCTTGTGAAAAGCACTGGGGGTGCTCCCTGCAGTGCACGTGCTGTTGGAGGAGCAGCCCTCTCTGCCCTAAAGCTCGTGGTGGGATGCACGTTTAGCTTTGAGGTCCTGCAGTGTTTTTGTCCCAGCACTGGAACTCCCCGTGCCCACAGCAGGCCTCCAGGAGAAACAATTCCCACAGCTACGAGCCTGTCTTAATGAAAATAACTTTTTTTTGGTGCAATGCTGGGGCCCAAAGCAGGCAGCCAGCTGTGTAGCATTTCCTAAACCCTTTGGAGAAGCTCCAAAATTTAGGTGTCTGGTAGCAAGGTGTCCTCTGCCCTGGAGCACCCAAAGGGCTGAGCCACTGGGAAGCCTGGTGGAAGGTGCCTTCCTCTCTCCTTCTCAAAGCTGGAAAGAGTGTGAGGTTGCAGAAGCCGAAATTTGGCAACGGGGCCCTGTCACCCATGGCTCTGTCAGCACCTTCTCGGCTCCTATTTGTGAAGGTGCTTGCAGCTGTTTGCACAAGGAGGAGCGGTGATCCTTGGCTCACGGAGGTGGTGGGGAATCCTCTACTTTGTGTGGTGCTCATGGCATCTTTAAAAAATCCCATGGTGTTATCATACCACTTGTGCAACTGGTTAGAGAAGATCCTGTTGGAGAAGACAGTGCAAAAACACTCTAAAGAGAAAAAAAAAGCATAAATGTTTAGAGAAGACAAACATCTGCAAAATGGAAGCAATAATCATCACAGACCACTGTGATGCAGGAAAAAGTGAGATCATATCTCTATCTCCTTTTCTGCAAAAAGGACATGTTGGAGGTTTTGTGCTCTTTTCTCATGTCAAAAGAGGCAGAGAACTAAAACCAAGAGAGCGATTTGCCCAGCTGGATGGCAATTTCTGTGTTCGGTGGAGTGCATCATTGGGCTGGTGAAGATCAACTTCCAAGACGCTCTTGTTTAGACAGAGATGACAGGTACGGAGACTTTTTGCTAGGGGAATAGACAACTACAAAATGGGCACGTGAGACACAGAGGCCTGGGGGAGCTGAAGTTGGTGCAGCATGGCAGCAGATGGAAATCTCTGGCTGAATAATCGCACCTTATTCTGGCTGAATAATTGCACCTTACTAATTATTCTGGCTGAATAATTGCAATAGTGATGGTGTCATTGCCAATTTAAGGCTACACACAGCGTAGCTGGACGTCAGTTACCATTAGAGTCTCATCGGGCTGTAGAGCAAAAGGCAGCAGCCAGTGCTGAAGGCTTAAGATCTCTCTGTCTTTTTTGTGGGGAAGGTTTGTTTAGCTTTGTGGGTTTCTTTTTTTTTTTCTTTTCATAAATGTGGGTGAATTTAACCCTGCTCCTCCCTTGTGGAAGAGGCAAAATGAGCTCAGAGTGCAGTGGGTTACCAGAAATGCATGGGCTGGAGGCGCAGAGGAGGGGAGCGCTGCTTGCTCAGTGCCACGCAGCCCTGAGGTTTCTCTCCCAGCCTCTTCTGAGTCCCTGCAGTTTTATTTCTTACATGCCAGCAAGAACGTCTTCAAAAATAAAGTCCCATTGATTTTTTTTTTTCCCTGCGAAGGTATTTTAAAGTGGTTGGAAATGGCAAAGATTAAAGGCACCGAGGTGCAACGTCAGCACGGGTCTGTGAGCAGCGTCCACATCTATTTTGCTGAGTGAGATGTCTGTGAAGGCAGACGGACAGGAGGCTCTGGGATCATTGCAAATTAAAACCTGGCCAGCTCTCAAATTGGCGATGTTTGCTAAAATATTCCTGGAGGGTGCCTGGAGCCCACCCAGAGAAGGGCAGAAAGTGAGGGATTTGGGTGGAAATGGGTGGAGGAGACCACTTCTGCTCCTCGTGGACACCGTGAGGATGGTTTTCTGCTTGGAAAGATCATCAGGGAAACCCTGATAGGGGTCTGAACAGGTCTGAACAGCACCGCAGGAGGCTGCAGGGATGAACACAGATGCAATCACGGGACCAACCTCGACAAAGTCCCAGCCAGGCACTGCCCTGGCTGCAGCCTACAGCAAAGCCTCTTCCAATTTTATGCTCCGCACTGAGCTGCTGAAGGACTTCTTCTAACCCCCCTGGCAGAGCTGACCTGACCACGCATGTCACCAAGTACACAATTGTACTTAGCACAGGATGTTTTCCTCAGACCTCTCTCTGTTTTTTTTTGTTTTGTTTAGTTTTTTTTTTGGCTTTCAAGAAGTTAAGTCACCCTGTCCGGTTTCTAAATGAATAGATGACTTCCTTAGAACAGATAACTTCAAGACCAGGGCTTGAATGGTTCTTGCAGAAACACAAAACAATTGCACAATGTGCTTTATGCATTTGAAGTGGCTGAGGAATGCCTTTTCTAGATGTAATATAGATCCTGGGGCATGAAAACTAATTGCCACGTGTCAAAATGCAACTGAGAGGCATTAACTCAAACTGTCCTCCCGGGGAATGCTCCCTGGGCTGATGAGCTATGAGCCTTTAAAGCTATCTGACACTAATTCCTGCAGTCCGTCAGAACAGATAATGTCAGGTCTGCT